AAGAGTTAATATGCAAACAAAAATTGAAGTATAGAGTATACTGAGTTGTCTTTTTTTCACCACTCGATAGCTCTAGAGACTAATCATCCCTGAAACACATCTTAAGAGATGGCATTCTATCCCAAATTCCTCATTACATAAGGACCCATGTACAATTATGAATAATTGAAAATTAATCCCTTTTTTATCAGAACTGGGCGAAGAGCTTAGCTTTCTCAATCGCTAGTCCAGGATCACAACTTTCCTCTTTGCCTCAACTCCTTTGTTTTCCTCCTTCCTTCCCTCCATCAAAGATACAGTGATAGAGTACAATGAATGAGATACTCTGATAGGGAATCTGTATGTGTGCAATAGATTGTGGATGGACATGATGATCCCCATTTCCTGGCTCAAAAGTCCCAAGCAATCCTCCATGCTATTTTCTTTCTCTGCCAGCTGAATATAGAGCAGCGGTTCTCAATCGAGAAGGAGGGGTGATTATAACACTAGACAATGTTTAGAGACATTTTTGGTTATTACAATTGGCAGAGGGAGGGGACTAGTGGCTCCTACTGGTGTCTATCAGGTAGAGGCCAGGAATGTCGCTAAACATCCTATGGTGCACAGGACAGCTCCCCACAGCAAAGATGGTGCTGAGGTTGAGAAACTCTGACAAAGACTGGGCAGAGAACACTGAGTCCTTGGCGGATGGTGGTGACACAACGAAGAAGGATCCTGTTCTCTGGATTGCAATAAAAAAAATGCTTCCTACCAAACATCCACCTTGAACTGTTAGATGAGTTTGACATAAACCTTGATTGAGTTAAGCCACTGATATTTGAAGGTCATTACAGCAGTTAGCCCTCTACTAACACAGATGGACAAGACACGATCTCTGACTTCAATTTCTATAACCTAGTAGCCCTGCTCCTTTTTCCAGATTAGATTCTGACCCTGCATAATCTGAAATAGGTCATGGTGGGGATGAGGGATGTGTTGGGAGAGAATGAAGAAGCCAGACTTCCTCTGTGAGCCCCACCCATGGGTTGATGCAATTAGAAATCCTTAAATACCATTTTCCATGTTCCGCCTCCATTTTTCAACACTGTTTGGTCTTGTTTTTGTGAAGTTTAAACCAGTTTAAATCTGGAAAGTGCTTAAAAGAACACTTGGAGCATGGCTGCTGCTTAACAATTGTTAGCTATCATCATCACCATCATCATCATCATCATCATCAATGCTTTTTTGCAATCATGGACACCACTCAGTGTATGAGATACTATGGTGGGGGCAGGGGCGGGAAAGATGCCCCTATACATGGAATTGAGGTTATTTTGGGAAATTGTTAGTAAGAATCAGCACATAATGAATACTATTAGCCATCTGCAAAGTAATCCAGCAGATGGCCTAATCTTCTTATCTGGGTTACAATCCTCCATAATCCAGACCCTGCTGACCTGCCTGTTCTCACTCCCTGCTTAACATGCCCTTGACCTTACCCCACGCTCTTTCTTATCTTTGGGGTTTTGCTCATGCCCTTCATCCTACTCTGGACTGCTTTTGGCTTCTTCCCAGCTTTGTTCCCTGCTACTCATCCATAAAGACTTGGTTCAGTTTGGGTCAATGCTCTTCCTCATGCTTATAATACTCAAGAGCCAATCGCTATAGACATATATACCAATTTTTTAAAAAATTGTCTGTTTATGTATCTATCACTCCCATTCGCTGTGAACTCGCTGAGTGTAGGGCCTAGGTTTTATCTATTTCTACATTCCTGGTCCATAACACAGAGCCTGAAACTTGGAGATCACACAATAAATGTGTATTGAATGAATTTTTCTGTAAATGTGTGCAGAGGGGACTTGGGGATACTGAATTTCAGCACAGAAGTGTGGGTGTGATCTCAGGGAGGCATGACAGAAATGAAACTACAACTAGAAAGTTGACACTCCATCAAGCACATTATTGCTTGTCTGAATAAACCGTGGGTTCTTAATCTTTTAGAGACTCGTCAGTTCTTTTGAGAACCCAGAACTTCTCCCTAGGAAGATACTTGTATGTCCTCTTGGTTGAGATGGCTGTGTGTTCACCAAAATCAGCTTCTATATTTCTTCCCAAAGGCACTACTTGACTACAATTCTAGACTATTTTGCAGCTAAGTATCACATGAGTTATGGAAGTGGCAGGAAGTGAAGTATGTCCTGGCATGGCAAAAGCAAAACTACAACAACAAAAAACCTCTCCTCCAAGATCCTCCAGGGTCTCTTGACTCTTGTCCATCAGCTAAAAGCAAAGAATCCTCAGAATACTCTGAAGCCCTTGAGGATGCTGGAGCACCCAGAGGGAAAGAGCTTGGATCCCTGACTGACCATGTGGAACACTGTTTGATAACCAGGTTCACCCTCACTGGTCTTTGCAGAAGCAAGAAAAAAAATGGTATTGTGTTAACCTGCTGACAGTTTGAAGTCTGTTTGTTACAATAGCCATTCTCACTACTCTAATAAATACACACTTTTTTTAAAATACAAATTCAGGTTTTCATGGACTCTAATGCTCATCCAGTGACCCCAGGTTAAGAATCTTTGGAATAAAGAATGTGACATTGAAGAGGGGCTTCACGGGATCAAAGCACATGAATATGTGAGTGCTTCTTCAGCCTTATCCAAAGGGGAAGAATTTCTCAGGCAGAAAAGGATTCTAATTGTGGAGAATGCCTCACCACGGCTTGAGTGAACTATATATAATCAAGGTTTCTCTTTGTTCTGTTTCCATGCTTATCATACAGTCTTTTGGTTGTTAATTTAGATTGCTAGATACATTAAGAGTATAATTAGGGTGTCCAAGGATTCAGTTTATTGGAATTATATAGCCTGCCTTTTTAATTAACATATTCACATTTCCCCTACCATGTGCTGAGTATTATGAAAGCTGCTTGTATCCATTATTTTATTTAATCTTCATCATAACCCAGTGAGATAAATGCCTTTATTTCCCTTTCACAGTCTGGGAACTGACTTCAGAGAGGTTACACTGCTTGACCAGATTACAGAGAAGGGGCAGATCTGTCTGAGGTCTATCTGCCAAGCCATCCCCTCCCTACTTGGTTCCAGGAATCTTTATTTTGGTCCATTCATTCTTTTCCAGTTTTTAAACCCCCCCCCCATTGTTTTCCGGCGTACTCACCTCCATTCGTCTCATAGGAATAGAGGAGGAAGGTCGTCCATCCCAGCAGGTAACTGGACCATCGGTTCATCTTGACTGGCCTCTTCCCTCTGGATTGGAAGAAGACAAAAATTTTGTTCCCATAGGTCCCCTTCCTCTTCCCACTAGCTTCCATGTTTGATGTCATGCATGCCATTTTTCTTTGTATCTTCAGACAGTAATAAAAAAAAAATCTTATTTTTGCAGAAGAGAGAAAAGTATTTACATTCACACACTGCATAATGACATACTGATTAACAGTGGACTGTATATAGGATGGTGGTCCTATAACATTACAATACCTTATTTTTTCTGTACCTTTTCTATGTTTAGATATGCTTAGGTGCATAAATATTTACCATTGTGTTACAATTGCCTACAGTGTTCAGTGCAGCAACATGCTGTACCAGTTTGCAGCCTTGGAACAATAGGCTGTACCCTAAAGCCCAGGTGTGCAGTGGGCTCTGCCTTCTAGGTTTGTGTAAGTACACTCTATGATGTCAGAGTTCTTTTTTTTTTTTTTTTTTTTT